AGCGCGACCTAGTAAAGTGCGCTAGAGCTATTAGCAGTAGCGCGCTTTCATACCGCTCGCTGCTGCTACGCTGTTAGTAGCGCGGGCAGACACGCATTGCTGCTACAGGTTAGCTGTAGCGCTATATCAGTAGCTCGGGACCCCGCGCTACTGCTATACGTAAAACCCGCGCTGCTGCTAGGCTTTTCCCTAGTAATGTGCATTTCTATATTCGATTGTATGTCCATTTCATAATCTACATAGTTTTATCGAGGTTGCATGGTTTAGTATATTGGATATGAGATACACGGACGTGGACGTCAATTTTTGAGGACTAGCCGGATTTGCCAAGTCCGGCTATAGGTGCTCTAAGAAAAGTGGCCATAGTCTAATTTTTTAAGCCTTGCAATATCATTATGCTTGTTGAATCAAATTAGGCACTGTATAAATCTGCAAAAAAGAAACGCACTACCTAAACTGCATAATAACCTGAAGAAAAAATTGCTTAGTTATTATGATAATCTTGCTTGTACAAATATGATAGCCAAGAAGAAATAAGAACTTGCATTGAAAGAAAACAGTCGCTCAAGACATTGTACATGTGCTATTCTATTTGGATGAAGTTTAATTAAATCCTAACATTCACAAACAACAATTATACACTGCTAGAAAAGTAAAAACTAAAGCAAACATAAAAAATAGGTAGAATAACTTTAGTTCCTGCTCCGGTTACTTTCCCAGGAAGCATTTTGGCCCTCCATATACATTTCAGTTAAATGCATAGGCATCAAAATATGAAGAGTAAAACACACATTAAAAAATAGGAGCTGCCAATATATATGGATAATCTTCCATTACAAGACGACACACCCGAGCATTAAAAGAAAAGAGAGGACACACAACCTAAAATATTTATCCACTTGCATGAAAAGTAAAAAGGGGAAAGGAAAAAAAAGTTGAAGGTGGAGGAGCAGACAGATACATATCCTCATGTCGCCACATGCATCGCAACTTGCTCTCAGTGCTGCTGTCAGTGTTGTTCCTGCCGTTCCGCAGCGCCTATGTGCGGATGACCATGGCAGCGAGCTGGGCGTTGTCCTCGGCGACCCCACACTGAGCGAGCTAGTTTCTGTTCTCAAGGTTGCTTGCAGCCATATGGGAACAAAGGTAATACTGAAAAAATCAATGAGAAACAGCATAAGGAGAACTACGTAGGGATGCACCATCGATCCTGAAGACACCTCCATATACATCGTCTGGTCAACACAGCAAGATCAAAATACCCATTGGTTCAAACCTGTTGTTACTGGTACTAGTCGTCTGAGGGTGCGTTCCGGGAGATGACAGGACAGGAGGGGTTCCAATTTGGGAAAAAAATCGGTGGAGAGATAAAAACAAGAGGTGGAGTACTGAAGTGGCGGTGGTGGTAGGAGTAGAGATGTATGGAAATATTAATTAATGTGATTGAACGAATTATGGTAAGATTAATTAATTTAGATTTGGTCCTTAGAGATTCATTGTGATTGATTCTTTCGCATATAGATACATTACTAAATATAAGTTGCACCTGCATAGAAAGTTCTGATATGTTTATATTTTTTCCGCTTGTGTGAGATATGATGCGAAAATAAACCAATGGGAGGGGGGATAAAAAAATCAGACCAAATAAAACCGGACGAAAGTAGTGGGACGAAAATAAACAGTGGACGCAATCTCTTCCTAATAATAAAGCACAGATTGAGTCTCCCGGTTCACCGTCACAATACGCTTCTTTCCGCGACGTGGGTTCACCGTCACAATACGCTTCTTTCCGTGATTTTATGTTTTCAGTTTGAATTTTAAATATACACGTGAGGTGGTACTAATTCGGGCAAGCCTGTGGGCGTGTGTCTTAATTAAAGATATAGAAAAAATAAAGATAAACAGGGGCACTAGGATTCGATCCGAGGTCACCAACGTGAGGGCTTGTTGCACTAAGGCCCTTCCCAGTGCTCCATGTTGGACAGGTGCTAAGCATGCCACATAAGTTAAAAAATGACATGGCACATCAATTAAAGAGGAGAGAGAGCTCTTTGGTGACCCCAGGAAGAACCAATGCCAAGCGCGTTAACCTAGGCAAACCACTTAAATGAAAAATGAAAGAAGTCAACCAATGCATGAAAGAGTTTAGGTGCTAAATCATTTAATAAAATGGGCTTAGCAACAACAAGTTAAGCACCTATGCATTGGGAAGTTGAGTTGCTAAGTTATTTAATGCACTTAGCACCACATCTAAGCACCTTTGCATTGGAAGAGGTCTAACCAACTCGGCCAAGTTCCTGTGCGTATTTTCTATTGATAGCTCATTCAATTTATCCGAGAATTGCCTTGACTCCTAATTAAATGTGATTATGGTATCCGGGCTCTGCATGCTGGTGTTGGCTCCTCAGATTTGCTCTTAATTAAACCTCCACGGACATCTAAAAACCAACATATGCACGAATAGAAAAAAAAAACTGATTGTCATCAAATAATCAATCAAGCATATCAGCTCGCATCAAGGTTAGCACATGTTGGTAGCTCTTGATGAGTAGGTTTACGTGAGACGGTGTCCAAAAAAAGGTTTATTCTTTCGTATTGGTTTGTTCTTATTTTTTTCATTTAATTAACTTCCAAGCGGTGATTTGATTTTTTTGATTCATCATATTTTGTTGTTCAACTATCTTGGATTGGCTTGCTTCTAATCGGTTCATTAATAAACATCACCAGGTACAACGCTTACTCATAAGTGAGACCAATTAATTAAAATTTGTTCATTTGTTGAAGACGTACTATAAGGCTAGAGGGACATCAAGCTTGAAGACAACAACTTTGATCCTTGCAGTGTATGAAGGCTGCTTTTATAGGACCAAAAAAGAATACCGTAGATGCTTTTATGAAATTAGGCCATGATACCATCGCAGCGCTTCAAGTCTCAATTGCCTTTTCTAACTCCTTATGTCATTTTTGGCATATAATTTCAAAGCCTTTTTTTTATCTCCACCACATCTCCTTAGCCTGATTTCTGAGTCTTGGACGACATGTCCATTTAGTAGGAGGATGCGGCCATGCACAGATAATAATTTTTCACCCGTTGAGAAGCACGGGCATATTTACTATTCCTAATAATAAGCTAAGGAGTGCTTCTGGCGGTCGGTCACACAACTTTGCAAAAAAAAAAACCTATGCTTTCTATGAATTAACCCATAATACACACTCAACTCATATTATTTTGCATTTTTCTGGAAACCCCTTGACTTTTAGGTAATTCACCTGCGAATCATATTTAAGTAAAACAAATGATTTTCTAAATTATCTTATCTTTTAAACCTTTACTTCGATTTTAATTTTTTATATATGAAATTTGATTAGAAATGTGTACTGTTTGAATATGATGCTATTTTTACCTGCTAAATATTTTCTAAATGTTATTTTGGAAGCAAACTTATAATATGTGGCACATGGTCCGTTTTTCATTGTAGTGGCGGCGGTATGGATTGCAAATAAACACCCACTAAAACCATATAGAGACGAAAGAAAACATCGATAACCACACATACACACATCTGAAAAACCTCGCAAGGGAAAAACAACAGATTTCTCATCACGAGAGAGCATGATTCATTTTTTCGTGCCGTGGCGATCCGGATTACAAATAAACACCAACTAAAATCATATAAAGACGAACGAAAACATCGATAACCACGCATGCACACCTCTGGAAAACCTCGCAAAGG